AAGCCGGAAGTGGCGCTGTGGCTCAAGTGGTAGAGCGCTAGCCTTGAGCTGAAGAGCTGAGGGACAGCGCCCAGGCCCAGAGTTCAGGCCCCACGACGGACCCAAAAAAAAAAAAAGCTTTGGGGCAGTGCCCAGGCCCTAAATTCTAGCCCAAGGTCAAGCACAACCTCCCCCCCCCAACAACAAAATAACCGCAAGAATAAAGATCAGCTGAATAAAGGGTTATGATGATGATTGGCATAACTGAAAAATGAACTCATCTCACATCCCGAAGTCAAATGTGCAAGGCCCTGATAATTACATAACTACATTGGACTTTACTATTAAAGCTCACTTACATATTAAACTCAACTCACTGTTTGTTTATTTTTGCCTGTCTTGAGGCTTGAACTTAGGTCCTGAGTATTCTCTCTAAGCTCTTTTGCTCAAGGCTAGCACTCTACCACCTGAAGCAGAGCCATAGCTCTCCAATTTTTGAGGAGTTAATTGGAGATAAGAGCTCACAGGAACTTTTCTGCCCAGGCCTGCTTCAAACTGAGATCCTCAGATAACAGTAGCTAGGATTACAGGTGTGAACCACAGGCACCCAGTTCAACTCACTTTTTTGTCAGTTGTAGCCCTTGAATGGAGGACCTGAGCCTTTTTGTGCTCAAGGCTAGGGCTCTACTATTTGAGCTACAGTGCCACTTCTGTTTTTGAGTGGTTAATTGGAGATAAGAGTCTCACATGGATTTTTCTGCCTGGGATGGCTTCCAGCCACGATCCTTAGATCTCAGCCTCCAGAGTAGCTAGTATTACAGGCGTGAGCCACTGACACCCAGCTTCAATTCACCTTTTTTTTTTTTTTGGTTGGTCATGGGGCTTGAACTCTGGGCCTGGGTGCTGTCCCTCAGCTCTTCAGCTCAAGCCACAGCACCACTTCCGGTTTTCTGGTGTTTTTTTGTTTTTTAATTGGAGATGAGTCTGACACTTTCCTGCCCAGGCTGGCTTTGAACTGTGATCCTCAGATCTCAGCCTCCTGAGCAGCTAGGGTGACAGGCATGAGTCACTGATGCCCAGCTTCAATTTTTTTTTTTGGGTCCAGTCATGGGGCCTGAACTCTGGGCCTGGGTGCTGATCCTCAGCTCTTCAGCTCAAGGCAAGCACTATACCACTGAGCCAACTTCCCAGCCCTTCAATTAACTTTTAAGCAACGATTTGAATCAGGAAGATGAGAAGAACAGCCAACTTTCTATTCCTCAAAGCCTGCTTAGGTTTTATACCCCATTCTGCCTTGTTACTATTGGGATGACAACCTGTGTAGAAGAGTCTCTGGCCCACCTGACATGCCCTGCTTGGAAATCTGCCGGTCGTAGATTTTCTTTTCAAGGGTATAATCAGCCACGAGGCGATAGATGTGACAGGGCTTTTTCTGGCCGTAACGGTACACCCGACATACTGCCTGGGCATCATGGCAAGGGTTCCAGGAAGCATCAAAGACCACCACTCGATTGGCACCAATCAGATTCACGCCCAAGCATCCGGCCCTTTAAATCGTAAGCCAACAATTACAAAGTCCTTAGTCTTAAAGATGGGTTTCAAATCAGCTTTCCCCTCTTGTGAGCTTTACCACAATATCATTCTTTGTCTTGAGCACAATAGAAAGGAAATTTGCTGTCTTCTGATTACTAATACATAAGAACCTCAAGCAGCACTGAAAGGCATGACCTGAAATCCAGGATAGAGCCAATAGCTCTCCACCCCTCTGTACCAAAAGAAGGTCCCTATACAAGTGCTGGGATTGCCAAGTGTGCACCACCTACTTGGCTGCTTTTCAGTTTTTAAAGCATTTTCACACTCATCATATTGTAAGTCTTAGCACACTTGACTGAGAAAAGCTTAATTATGTCAATTGTTACATATATATGTGTATTGTTACATATATATATATATATTTTTTTTTTGATATGACAGTGACAACTCTTTTCTAATACAATTTCCTTTTGGGGATCCCCCATCTGACCTCAAAATCAAGTTATAAACCTGAACAGATCTCTTCTGACAGCCGTGGAGGAGCCTTTGGGGCCCCTACCCCAGGTGGTCAATTGCTTGGACACAATCCTTTGACCCTCCTGTCTCAGGCTCCACTCACCTTGTAGAGAGAAGGAACAGCCAGGTGGTGAGGTTGCTGGGATCATTGAACTGATTAATGAGCCTTTCTCTCTCAAAGGCAGGGGTGCTACCATCTAGCCCTAGGAAGGAAGGAAAAACACAAGTAGTGGACAAACGAGGGCAGGATAACCCCCAAAAAATCATTGAACAAATGTATTACTGACATCTAGTAAGCAGAGGCCAGGGATGCTGCCATACATCTTCCACCAACCAGGATAGACAGACCCTAGAACCACAGTAATAATTTCCCAACGTTTTATCAGTACTGTTCCACCTATGGAGAATTGTTTGGTATTTGTATTCAGATCACACCATGTCTTCTTGCTTCTGTGTCGGTACTGGGGCTTGAACTCAGGAGTTCACACTCACATTTGGCTTTTTTTTACTCAAGGTTGGTACTCTACCACTTGAGACATAGCTCTACTTCTAGCTATGTGCTGATTACTTGGAGTTAATATTCTCCGGGATTTTCTTGCCAGAGCTGGCTTTTCAAACCATGATCCTCAGATCTCAGCCTCTGGAGCAGCTAGGATTACAGGAATGAGCCACTAGCACTGAGTCACACATCATGTGTTAATGAAATCTGAAAACCACAGATATACTGTATATTTTGCTTATGTGCCGTGACTGTATGTGTACCTGTGACTTAAGATATTTCTTCAGGTCACACACACACACACACACACACACACACACACACACACACTTTCTAGCCCCTTGAGGAACACACACACACACGCACACACTTTCTAGCCCCTTGAGGAAAAAGCATGATTTAGACCCTATGCTCACTTTGCTTTTTCCGCCTGGAATGATCTTGTCTTGAAGGCTTACCATAGTGATTCTGTCCTCCTTGGAACTCACTTTGGGCATGCCATTGGTTCTGTTAAGCATTTTCCTTGAGTTCTCTCTCAAATGAAGATAAGGCCTTTGCTTTCTACTTCTCTACACTCTTCCATCCCTCCCAAGCCTGCCAGCCCCTAGTACAAGTGATTCATACACACCTGGCTCTTGCGGTATTATCTATCTGCTCCTTGGTAAGTCACAGATAGTTTGCACTTGGAGAGTAGAGGAAGAGAAGAGAAAGACAAAGAAAAGACGCCTTAAGCAGATCTTGCACGCTTCAGGAACAAAAGCAAGCCAACACTCACGGAAGTAGCTGACATTTCGAACCCACTTCTGTGCTCCTTGACCCTCGGCACCAGGCAGACAGGGCACCTCTCGCTTCCCTAGGAACTCCTCGATCAGAGCCAAGGTGGAAAGGCTCTGGCTGAAAGGGAAGATGTGATTCAGATGGCTCCCAAACCCAAAGACCCCTACTAATGTGTAACGTTCTCATAGTGCGAAGGAACTCCCACCGCCTTCTCCCCGTAAGAAGTAACCCTCCCAAAGGTTACTCGAGGGTATCCCTCCTAAGTCTTAATGGGGGCAGAGATATCCACATACTTATTACCAAGATTCTCCAGCCCCTACCTTCCACCCTTGAGAAAAATCTAGGGGGGGTTGGGAAGGTGGCTCAGTGGTAGAGAGCTTGCCTTGCATGTATGAGGCCCTGGGTTCAATTCTTCAGCACCACATAAGCAAAAAGAAAAGAGCCAGATGTGGCACTGTGGCTCAAATGGTAGGGCACTAGCCTTGAGCTGAAGAGCTGAGGGACAGTGCTCAGGCCCAGAGTTCAGGCTCCACAACTGGACAAAAAAAAAAAAAATCTAGGAGTTTAAAGCCCAATACTTAACTAGGATTCAGCATTACACACCAGTACCTAATGACTAAACACTGAAACGGACTGAGGACCACAGGCAGCCCTAGGGATCTTACTAGGGACAACCACTCAGCTGCTTTCAAAAAATGCAGACAGTCTCTTCAAAGTGATCCTTCAAGCCAAGGGAACACTAGGCTTGTAGAGAATCTGATTCTGGTACAAATCCCCTCATTTCTTTTGGTCTTAGATACAAAAGGTTGGGATGGCTGGAGGTGTGGCTCAATAGGGTGGCAAGCAGGAGGACCAGAGTTCGAGCATCAGTATCACCCCATTCCTCCCCCAAAACAAAAAGACTGGGGAGGGATAGAAACAGACTAGAGCCAGGCACCGGTTGCTCACGTATATAATCGTAGCTACTCAGGAGGCTGAGATCTGAGAATCATGGTTTGAAGTCAGGCTAAGCAGGAAAGTCCGTGAGACTTCGATCTCTGAAAAGCCAGAAGTGGAGATGTGGCTCAAGTGGTAGAGTGCCAACCTTGAATGAAAAAGCTAAGGGACAGTGCCAGGCTCTGAGTTCAAGTTCCAGTACCAGAGGAAAAAGAAATACAGAAAAAGAGATCTGACTAGGATCTGACTAGAAAAAGATCTTTTCTTTTCTTTTTTTTGGTTGTTTGTGGGGCTTGAACTCTGGGCCTGGGCACTGTCCCTCAGTTCTTCAGCTCAAGGCTAGCGTTCTACCACTTGAGCCACAGCGCCACTTTCGGTTTTCTGGTGATTTATTGGAGATAAGAGTCTCACGAACTTTTCTGCCCAGGCTGGCTTTGAAGCATGATCCTCAGATCTCAGCCTCCTATGTAGCTAGGATTACAGGCGTGAGCCACTGGCACCTGGCTAAACATTTTCTATAAAGGGCCAAAGAGTGAACATTTTAGACCTGGTAGACCATATATACTTTCTAGTCACAAAACTTTAGCCACAGTTTAAAGCGTATCCTGTGATCTCCAATCATTAGCCTAAGGTTCTAATTGTTCTCTGTGGAGAAAAAAAGAGTAATCAAAACCCCTAAAAACTGAGGGGTAGAGGGAGAAGAAAAGAAAGAAATGAGGGAAGAATGTATGACAGTCCTCACACTAAGTGCTTGGTTTCAGGGGAACGAGGGACTGGGGCTTTTAGTCTTGTAGGCACTGTGCTAATCTTTCCCAGAGATGCATTAGTCCCAACTAGAACTGTCTCTTCCTACCTGAACACAAGGATCTTGTCCCCAAGCTTTACACTTTCCTCAATCAGGTGGAAAAGCAATACCATCTTAGGTGAGTTTTCCAAGACTCCAGTCTGATAATTGGTCAGAAGCTCTTTGGCCTGTAAGAAAGAAATGAGACAGTCTGGAATATAAATGAAATTCTCTCCCTTGGAGGCAGCAGCCCACCGGTCATCTTTATAGTGCCCTGCAGATCTTGGCAGTGACACACTGTACACCCAGCCCCCTCCCAGGCAGGTCAGGCATGCTCCCTTCTCCGTGCTTTATGGCTACTGAAGGATCTGCTGGACTTACCCATTCGTATGTTACGATGTTGTTGCCACGCTCCTGGAAAGGGTTGAAGCCAACCCCCTGTAAAAACTTGCTATTGGCTGTCTCTCCCATTGAGGAAGCCAGGGTGCTGTCCTCTCCCTTGCATTTTATCCCCTGGGGTGGGCAGCGGGCACTGGTTCCTGCTGAGCCAAGCTCTTCCACATCTAGGTCCTGTTCATTGGCCAGGTTTTCCTTCTGAAGGGCTTCATACAGTACATCAGGGTGGTTCCAGATCTGAGGTTAAAGCGAGTGGGGAGAGGTAGAGGACAGAGAATACTCCAAGAGGGTCCCAAGGAGCCTGGAGACGTGCTCTTGCTCATACCAAGAATTCTTTAATCCAAAAGACTGCATCAGGTTGAGTGGTGGCTCACATGTCGATAATCTTAGCTACCTACTCAGGAAGCTTGAGATCTGAGGACTGCAAACCAAAGCCAGCCCGGGCAGGAAAGTCTGTGAGACTCTTATCACCAATTAACCACCAAAAAAAAAGCCAGAAGTGGAGCTGTGGACCAAGTAAGTGGTAGTACGCTAGGCATCTCTAAGGTAGCCTCTCCTACTTTTTCCTCCCTTTATCAAGGATCCTCCCTCCCCCTCCCCCAGCCAAGTGGGAGTAACTCCCTAGGGATTATGGATGTCCTTACTCTCTCCAACCATCTTTCCAAAGGTCCCAACTCACCTTGCAGCACACGCAGAAAGCCTTTAGGGGGTTCAGCCCCAGCCAGCCACTGTTACCACAGTCCCGGAAGCGGTCCATGAACTGTGTGTACAAATCTCGCTGGATCTTAGACAGCCGCACCAGAATCACATTCTCTTCCTTGGCAGGAAGATGAATCTTCAACACAGTGTGGCCTCTCCTACAGAGGCAAAGAGATCACAAGTAGCCATCAACTGTCAGTGCAAGATAAAACCAGGACCTAGCCCTTTTGCCATACCTCCTTCTTGAGGACCACAACAAACACATTGCTGTAAGAGCACTGTGAAGAAAGTTATCTGAAGGATGAACCAGGCATAGCACCAGTCATGACTTGACTGGGTGACTGAGAGCAGAGGTATGAACTCCAGGTTCTTGTGGCAATTCAGGGCTGCCTCTGAGCTTTCTTTTACATAGGCCATCTTAATGAGGAAGTGACCGATTGCTTCAGAGTACCTAAGCTTTACCCACTGGGATGCTAAAACTGCTAAGATCATGCTGCAGAACCACCGATGCACATTTACCCCAGGTCAGTAGAATGTTGGCTCTCTCTTGCTTCTCTCTGCACATGAAGGCCGGTGTCTTCAGCAAGTTTATTTATTTTTACCAGTCCTGGGGTTTGAACGAGGGTGTGGGCACTGTCCCTGAGGTTCTGTTGCTCAAGGCTAGCATGTTACTTACCACTTGAGCTACAGTGCCACTTCAGGCTTTTTTTCCTGTGGACGTGGTACTGAGGAATGGAAGCCAGGGCTTCATGCATGCTAGGCAAGCACTTTACCACTTACCACTAAGCCACCTTCCCAGTTACTGAAGTAACTTTAAAGTGAACTTATGAGTGGAGTATTTGAAGGTCAAACTTGAGGAGAATGGATAAAATAGAGACCCATCACCTGCTAGTTATTTACACAAAGGAGTTATACTGGTAGGGAGGGCCCTCCTAGATGGCGGCTCTCTTGAGTTTCAGCATGCCCGATGCTCCCGAGCGGCTCCTCTGAGCATTTAGAAAATGGGGCCTTGCGCCCGGCTTACCTCTGCACAAAGCCCTCCAGGAGGCTATGCAGCACGTGGCTGCGGTACCGCATGAGGCGGACGTCCTGTGGCGTGCTATCAATGCACTGCCCGTTCAGGATAGGGCGCTCAAACATGTTGCTGAACTCCTGCCGGGTGCCAAGGAAATCTGGGCGCACAAAGTCCACCATGCACCAGTACTCGATAAGGTTGTTCTGCAGCGGGTACCCAGTCAGCACGACCCGGCGGCGAGAACGTATGTTCTTCAGGGCCTGTGAGGTGCTGGCCTGGCAGTTTTTGATGCGGTGCCCTTCGTCACAGATGACCACATCAGGGCCAGGGCGGCATAAGGCCTTCTCAAACTCTAGGGAGGGAAGAGGATCCAGGGTCAGAGGGTGAGAGGGCCTGCCCTTACTCTCAGGTGAGGGGCAGGGGAGCACCCTGGAAGAGACAGAAGACATGAAGGAAGCAGGAAAGCAAGTGTCAGCCCCCATTGGTGAAAGGGAGCCTGCCATCCAAGCTCGTGTGTGTTTGACAGGATGCTAACCTGGCCACTGAGCTCAAGGCGCCACTTCCGGTTTTCTGGTGGTTCATTGGAGGTGAGAGTCTCAGGGACTTTCCTGCCCAGGCTAGCTTTGAACTGAGATCCTCAGATCTCAGCCTCCGGAGTAGCTAGGATGACAGGCGTGAACTACTGGCGCCCACCTACTATTTTTTTAGGCTTAAGAGCAAAACTGATTTGCTTGAGTCACTTCATAAAGTACCAGCCTGGGATTACAAATGTGTCTGGTGAGCAATGAATAATCTGGGCATGTCAGAGTGCTCTCATCTCTGGAGGCTGGCTGGGAGGAGCTAGCTAGTCTCCGCAGTTGTTTACCAGTCATTGCTAAATGGCAACACTCGCCCCAGCTCTACCACAGAAGCAAATCTAGAAAAAAAAGACCTTCAAAATACATGCTCTTTGAATCCTTAGAAACTTTCTTCCTCAAAGGAGCAAAGGCCCTTCTTCAGAGGAATTGGCTACAACTACAAACAGAATAGTTTTCACTAAATGCAACTGAGATAAAACTCCTTTTATAAATTCAGGCTTTACTCCTCTTCTGACCTTTTTTTTTTTTTTTTTTCAGCTCAAGGCTAGCTCTCTACCACTTGAGCCACAGTACCACTTCCTGCTTTTTCTGCTTATGTGGTGCTGAAGAATTGAACCCAGGGCCTCATGAATGCAAGGCAAGCGCTCTACCACTGAGCCACCTTCCCAGCCCTACTCTTCTGACTTTAGATGAATTAATTTAGCCACTTTGTAAATATTTTAATGCTTTCTCAGAAAATCTCCAGCAGAGTGGTAAAAGCAGTTACCTTCTCAACTGTTCTGTGGGAGAAATATGAACAGGGGCGTTTCCCCTGGGCCAGAGTGTGTCCTGTAGAGAAATCACCACCTTTTGTAAGCCACTGGAGGTTGCCCAAACAATCCTGGAGGATCAGGATTTCTAGTTCTTAACCATAATTCATTTCAAGACTTCCTTGAATACCCAGCTAGGTGCCATTACAGACACAAATTCTTTTTTTCCTGAAACATCTCAGGAGTAATTTCCAACAGGGGCTGCCCACCTTTCCGAAACTCCTGCTGTCGATCTTCTTCATCTAGGTCAATGATGATTGGATGAGATCGTTTCTTGGTTTTCTTTGGTCGGCCCGTGGCAAAGGATTTCTTCAAAGTGAGGAGTCTGTACATTTCGTACCCCATCAGCATCACCCCACCTTCTGACACCCAGTCGGCCATCACTTTAGCACGAGATGCCATTGTCCTACAAGAGTAAAGAGAGAGAATTTCTGCAAAGTTGGTTTTTTTTTGGTCCGGTTGTGGGGATTGAACTCTGGGCCTGGGCACTGTCTCTCAGCTCTTCAGCTCAAGGCGAGCTCTCTACCACTTGAGCCACAGCACCACTTCCAGTTTTCTGGTGGTTCATTGAAGATAAGAGTCTCACGGTCTTTCCTGCCCAGGCTGGCTTTGAACCGCAATCCTCAGATATCAGCCTCCTGAGTAGCTAGGATGACAGATGTGAGCCACTGGTGCCCAGTTTCTTTTATTTATTTATTTTTTTAAAGGTGAACAGGGATAAAGTATTGTTTTTTGCTACCTCTCAAGAAGAATTCCTTACAATCAAAGCTGTGTTGATGTTCCCTGAGACTATGATTGCCAAAGATTTCATATGACAAACACAGAACTGGCCAGTTGCCCAAGAACCTCCTTGCATCCCAGAGGTACTTGTACTGGATCACTGATGGTGGTGAAACAGCAAGAAACAAACAATAACTCAACCAAAGAAGGCAGAAAGAATCTAGGAAGACACCACACACACTGAAAACATACTGTTCTGACATCCAGGTCCCAGGGGGAAATCTAACAGGGATGAAGGGGCACAGAGCAGAGAACAGATGACCTACTTGTGCTCATCATTCAAGATGTGAACCTTAAAGAAGCGAGGCTGGACTTCTTCAGGCTTGTTGTCAGCTGGAAGGGTTTCAGGAGCCGGGAGCCACATGTTGAACTCTGCCAGCCAATTCTGGAGAGTATTAACCTGTCAGAAAGCCAAGTCCAAAAAGAGATTTAAGGAGTAAGCTCAAAGCTGACTTCACATGAAGCTTTACAGGGCTCAGTAACCCAGAATTCTTCTCAGCAGGGTCACTAGGTGAAGCCTCCTCCCAAACTCTTACCGGCACAATGGCAAGGACTGTTTTGGCTGGTGTGTGGCGGAAGAGGACATCAACAAAGGAGATAACTTGCAGAGTTTTCCCTAAACCCATGCTGTGAGCCAGGATACAGCCAAAGCCACTGCTGGTCTTAAACCTTTCCAGAGACTCCACTAGGTTATCATATAGGAACCGGATCCCGCCAATCTGACAAAAACAAAAACAAGATAAATGTCAGAGGACCTCAGGAAAGACCTGGCCTCTAGTTCTACTCACTTTGAAACTGCATCAGAATTAAGCAAGTGAGTAGCTACTCTCACAGTTAGCTAGAACAGTCAGAGAAATTTCCCTGTATCCTGATGTTAGTTTTATACAAAATACAGAATAAAGCCTTGCCTAGGAATAATGTCCCTTCTGGTTTTTTTGGGTCTGGTTGTGGGGCCTGAACTCTGGGCCTGGGCGCTGTCCCTCAGCTCTTCAGCTCAAGGCTAGCAGTCTACTTGAGCCACAGCGCTTTTTTCTTATGTGGTGCTGAGGAATCGAACCCAGAGCCTCATGCATGCAAGGCAAGCGCTCTACCACTGAGCCACCTTTCCAGCCCAATGTCCCTTCTGTATAAGAGTCCACAGCACCAAATTCCTGACAGGGTCTCTCATTCGTCCTGCCTGGGCCTGGGGGAGGGTATCTCCTCTACGTGATCCGTCCATAAGAAGTGGGTCTTATGTTGAGTAAATCTCTTGACTTCAGGAAACTTTCATTCATTAGTCCTGGTTCCAGGCCCTGGATCAACACAAACTGTTCTGCTCCTATCAGAATGTCTCCACTGTGTCTTTTGAATCACACCTTCTTAATCAAAGCCTTGCTCTCCAGGAAAGTCAGTCAGTGTCTCTTTCTTTTGCCAGTCCTGGGGCTTGAACTCAGGGCCTGAGCTTCTTGGCTAGCATTATACCACTTGAGCCACAGCGCCATTTCTGGCTTTTTTTTTTTTTTTCTGTGTATGTGGTACTGAGAAATCCAACCCATGGCTTCATGCATGCTAGGCAAGCACTCTACTACTAAGCCACCTTCCCAGCCCGCCAGAAGAATCTTGAAGCCTGGAACTGCTGGGAAGAAAGATAGAGCCTAATAGCTGATTATGGGATCAGACTAGTACTTTGAAGGCTATGATGCTAATTATCACCAGCAAGCAGACAAATGTTCCCAGCAAGGCAAGCATAAGAGGGTGAACATTTGCTGTACCTGATGAGGTTTCACGGCCCGTGCCAACTGTGGGGCCAGGAAGACATTCTCCTCCTCTGGAGGGTGGTTCAGGTTGACAAGGACCCGCCCAAGAGCATCATGCTGATTTAAGGCGTCATTCACGTGGGTGCCACCCTTCTCCTCTTCCTCGTCCTCCTCACTGACAGACTCGCTGCTGTCCACAATGTGCAGAGTGTCCTCCTCCCCAGAGCTCAGTTCAATCACCTCTGAGAAAGGAAAGGGGGCGGGGGGGGGGGGATCAAACTAAGACACCACTCAAAAGGAGAAGGTGGAGAAGAATAAAAATAGCAAGTGGGTAATACATTGCAAGTAAACAGGAGGGCAGCACAGAGAAACTCTGAAAGCTGTCGATCAGTAAGGGGATTGGGGGAGAAATGGATACGGTGCGGGGGGGGGGGACTAACAGGAGGGGGATGGGCTGGTAGGGAAGATCTGGGAGGTGGAATACTGTCAAAATCGATGATTTGCATATAGGAAAATAAAACAAGGAAAATTTTGTGGAGATGCTATCTTTCAGGGGGGTCTGATAGAGAGGGTCAGATGGATTGGAATCTGGCGCAAACATGTGGTGTGTAACAATTAACAATGAAATCTCCCTCAGTATAACTAACATAAGTAGAAACAAACCCAGGGAGCGGAGAGAAATTTACTGCCAGTTGTCAGAGGAGAAGAACACAGAACCTGATGAGGAAGAACTCACATTATTTATGATTAAGGGAAGTTGGTCAAGAGTAGGTTCCAAACCAAAGGAGGGAAAAGGACTAAACGTCCTGAGAAGCATAGCCAGTCTCAGGAGGCAGGGGAGGAATCTTACCATCTCGACTGCCTTTCTCATCCTCACTGCCACTGCTACTGTCCAGACAAATGACTTCCTGGGCCAAGACCCGAGGAGGCAGCTGGGGACCTTCACTCGCACGTAAGACAATTTCCTCTAGGAAGAGATGGAAGTGAATGTCAAGCTGCAGTTAGCTCAAGCATATTTCCCAAAATGATCTACCACCCTTTCCCCATGCTGGTTTTTGCTTGTTTGTTTTGGTCAGTTGTGGGGCTTGAACTTGGCTTGGGCGCCGTCCCTCAGATCTTCAGCTCAAGGCAAGCGCTCTACTGCTTGAGCCACAGCGCCACTTTCTGTTTTCTGGTGGTTCACTGGATATGAGTTTCACAGACTTTCCTGCCGGGGCTGGCTTTGAACCGTGATCCTCCGATCTCAGCCTCCTGAGTAGCTAGGATGGCAGGCATAAGCCTGGCACCCGGCTCCCATGCTGTTCTTGTGGAATTTCCAGGGGGAAGGGAGTAAAGGGTGTTTTAAAACCTCAGCCCTCTTTCTGAATTCGCTTTCTGCACTGAATCTTACTTCCTGTTTCCACCCCACAACCAGCAACGGTCCTAGTCCATGGTATGTTAAATTCCATGGGGGGGGGGGGGCGGATCTTAGTGAAATCAATGTGAGGAACCCATATTTATACATCTTTTTTTTTTTTTCCCCAGTCGGTTGTGGGCTTGAACTCTGGGCCTGGGTGCTGGTCCCCGCGCTCTTCAGCTCAAGGCGAGCACTCTACCACTTGAGCCACAGCGCCACTTCCGGTTTTCTAGTGGTTTATTGGAGATAAGAGTCTCACGGATTTTCCTGCTTATTATTATTATGTTTGGCTCAAGGCTAATGCTTTACTCTTCTTGAGCCACATCTCTACTTCTAGCCTCTCAGTGGTTCATTGGAGATAAGAACAAACTGATCCTCAGAGCTCAGTCTCCTGAGTAGCTAAGATGATAGGTATAAACCACCACCAGTGCCTGGACCTATTTACTTTTCCCAGTGACAATTCTGACTGTGTGCTTTCAAGAAGCTAAAGGACTTTATTTTTATTTATTTTTGCCAGTCCTGGGGCCCTGGCACTGTCCCTGAGCTTCTTTTGCACAAGGCTAGCGCTCTACCACTTGAGCCACAGCACCACTTCTGGCTTTTTCTGTTTATGTGGTACCAAGGAATTGAACCCAGGGCTTCATGAATGCTAGGCAAGCACTCTACCACTGAGCCACATTCCTGGCCCCACTAAAGGACTTTAAAAGATACCTAAGAAGTCACAATAATATTCCAGACCTATCTCTAACCTCTGTGGAAGCTTGCATCTCTTTTCTCCATAGAGGTAAGGGCCCTTCCTGCGGCAAACATTGCTTACCAGGTAGGAACTCCAGGGGAACAGTGGGAATGGGGGCTGCATAATCTTTCCTCTGCTGCTCCAGACGTTTCCTTCTTTCCAATTCTTCCTGCTGTGCTGCTTTGGTAACGGGCTCCAATTGATCCTCCCGGAGTAGCTTTCTGAACATTTAAAGGAGAGTATTTGGGTCCACTTAAGATTTTTTAAAAACAGGGCTGGGAAGGTGGCTCAGTGGTAGAGCACTTGCCTTGCATGCTCGAGGCCCTGGGTTCAATTCCTCAGCACCACATAAGAAAAAAGCCAGAAGTGGCACTGTGGCTCAAGTGGTAGAGTGCTAGCCTTGAGCTGAAGAGCTGAGGGACAGCGCCCAGGCCCAGAGTTCAGGCCCCACGACCGGAACCGCCCCAAAAAAAAAGATTTTTAAAAAACAAAATTTAGGCGTACTTATAGGTAAATAAAAGAAAAAACAACACTAACATTAATTTTATTATATTTTTTAAATTTTTGCCTGTCCTGGGGCTTGAACTCAGGGCCTGGGCACTGTCCCTGAGCTTCTTTTGCTCAGGCTAGCAGTCTACCTCCCGAGCCACAGTGCCACATCTGGCCTTTTTTCTGGGTATGTGGTAGTGAGGAGGAATCGAATCCAGGACTTCATGCATGCTGGGCAAGAACACTACCACTAAGCCACATTCCCAGCTCTTGGTCCCCGCTTTCTCTACGTAGCACATATAAAAGATGGAAAGTACAACAGCTGCTGCTGGTTTTCAGCTCTGTGGACCACTGGGAGACAAATGAAAAAATACAGGAAAAAAGTGGAAAGACCAGTTCCTAGCCTCCTTTTACCCTTGGGCCACACTGAGGGCTCCTTGATGGTGGTGAAGGCCTTTCTTCATCCATTCTCTGTAGCCAAGTCCACTGGGCCTGAGTTGTACCTTCACTATTGGGGTTTTGTTTGAGGGCAAATCTCACTATTTAGTCCAGGGTGACCTGGAACTCTGTCTACCTAGATCCTCCTTGTGTTAAAAGTTCCTTGAGTACTGTGGTTACAGGTTGCTTTATCGGACCTGGCACTTTTACTGTTATAATGAAGGTACACAGACGAACATTTTTCACCATTAGAGAATTCTCTTGCCCTAACCAGTTCTGCTACTGCCAGGCTTATGATAAAGGTCTTGTATCCCTCTTCCTTCCCCTCTCTCCTTCCCCTCAGCAAAGCTCACCGTATATTTCTCCTCATATGAGAGGGCTTCTGAGCTCTCTTCTTTTTGGGGTCCTCGGAGGCAAGGATTTTGTCTTGATGGTGCCTAAGCTGCTCTGAAGGCTCAGACTGAGATGAGGTAGTTGAAGTGCACCGCGGGGGCCGCTGCCCATCTTCCTCCAGCTGGGCATGGTCAGTGTCACACATGCCTTCTAGGGATGTGTCTGGAGGGAAAAACAAGGAGAAAGAAAGAGGTGGCTTTACTGAGGGAATTATTATTATTATTTTAGTTTTTACTTGGAAAAATGGTTATCATTAAGGAGTTATACAAAGGTGTTACAATCCCGTAAGTCAGGTAATGCGTACAATGCTTCTTGGATGATGATGTCACCCCTTCCTTGGCGCTACCTCATTTTCCCCATCACTCTTAATATCATTTAGTGGTATGATAAGAATTAGGAGGTTTCATGGTCTTAGGAGACTTAGGCACAAAACAGGTTCCAGACAGGCCACACCAGTGGCTCACACCCATCTTGGCTACTCAGGAGGCTGAGATCTGAGGATTTCAGTTCAAAGCCGGCCTGGGCAGAAAAGTCCCATGAGTCTTTTTTTTTTTTTTGGTCTATCCATCTTGGGGCTTGAACTCTGGGTCTAGCACTGTCCCTCAGCTCTTCAGCTCAAGGTAAGAGCTCTACCACTTGAGCCAAAGCACCACTTTGTTTTCTGGTGGTTTATTGGAGAGAAGAGTCTCATGGACTTTCCTGCCTGGGCTGGCTTTGAACTGTGATCCTCAGATCTCAACCTCATTAGTAGCTAGGATGACAGGCGTGAGCCACCAGCGCTGGCCTCCATGAGACTCCTCCATGAGACTCTTATCTCCAATTAGCCACGCAAAAACAGGAAGTTTTGTTAATCCTTGAGCACAAAGAGATTCAGGGACAGTGCCCAAGCCCTGAGTTGAGTTGAAGCTTCACAACTGACAAAGAAAAAAAGAAAAGAAAGAAAGAAATTGGGCTCCAAATACAGCTCATGTTCACTTGTGTGTGACTATCAGATAAAGCCCCCTTGCCTTTTGTCCTTGAAGTGTTCACCCATTCTACTTGTCACCTATTTAATGAGGGCTTACAACATGGTAGGCACTACCCTAGAAGAGCTCAGAGTGTCAGGGAGTACTAATGAGCCTTGATCAACTAGTGTGAGCCTTGGCTCAGTCATGTTCTACTGAGAGGAAGCCAGGTCCAACTGCTCATGTATGCAATCTGACACAAGAACTAAAAGAGGCTGGGGGGGAGGGGTGCAGCTTGGTGAACTTGCCTAGCACCGTGGTTAGATCCTCAGCATTATAAAAAAAAATCATTTTTTGATAAAGAGAGAGGGAGAAAGACAGAGAGAGAAAGAGAGGAAGAAGAGAGAGATCAAAGTAAAGCTCCAAGTCTGACTAGCTGCTCTCCCCTTCAAACAGTCCTCTTCAATTTCCACTTGAAACACTCCAGCAAAGTCTGTTTTCCTTTAAAAGAACTCTTTCTGGGAGGAACTCCTCCTTCTCAAAGGACAAACGCTTCCACAGCATTTTCACATTTGTCCTAACTCACAGCTCTTCTTCTTCTTCCCAAATGAATAGCTGTTTCATTCATTCATTCCCAAATGAATATTCTGTTTGGACAGCATTTCTTCAGAAGGAAATAGCAAATGTAAATGGCCATTTCCATCACCACTATAGCTTCCCCTACTCACCAACTATATTTGGGGCTGAGCTGACACACTTCAAATTAAGTTTTTGGTTTTTTGTTTTGTTTTTGCTGGCTTCTCTGGCCTTGTTTTGATAAGTCTTATTTTGTTTTTATTTGGTTTCATTTTTACTGAGCTATATATGCTCCAATCCCTGATAATGACCTTTGATATTTTCCTGGTCTTGTTTTGTTATGGTTTTATTTCACAAGCAAATTTATTGAGCAACCATTTGGAAACTACTTGGCAGCGAGGCTATAAAGTAGGCAGATAGGACAAAATCAGAGCACAGAGGGCAGGTCTTGAAGGTCAAATCAAAAGGTCTGAAACTGATCTGTTGGGTTGTAGGAATTTGTTGCTGTTGCCTTTTCTTTTGGAAATGTATTTCCTTCTGGCTTCTAGTTCCCTGAGTAGACTGCTCCTAAGAGGAGAAAACCAAAAAATAAAATAAAATATAAGCAAAAATAGAACCTGCTGATCTTCCAGTAACATAGACAGATTCTGTATCAAACATTCTTTCCAAGTTATGAGGCCTGGTTGTCAACTTCCTGTCTGGCATGGAGCTGAACAGAGCCAAATGTGATAGAAATTTAACAGTCAGACATAGTATATACTATTTCTAAACACATTCAGTTCACATACAAACTTCTTTTTCTCTGTATTCCTTCTCACCTAGTATTCTCTGAACGAAGCCTCAGTTTCTGGGATCAACTACAACCGCTTGCTCTTTAGCCAGCAACAATAGATGAATGGATATAGAAATTGTAGTATATTTGCACTAAGGAATATATATATTTTAACTAACAGATAATCTATGGAGACAAAGAGTTGATTGGTTGTTACCAGGGATTAGAGGAAAGGGGTAACAGGAGTGATTGCTTATGAGAAATGATTTTTTCTGGTAGCTGACACGGAGCTTCTGCTTCTAGCTAAAATAATATAGTTTGAGACAATACTTATATTAAGAACAACTAGAAATTCATTTTCACATTAAAAAAAAATTTAACTTCAAAGTCATTGAGTGGAAGTGGCATGATTCCAGAGAAGAAAAAAATTAAGATGCAGTGAACCCACAACTAGCAGGTTGTTTGTTTGTTCTGGGGGGGTGTTCCGTCATGGGACTTGACTTGAACTAAGGACCAGGGCCCTGTCCCTGAGCTCTTTTTGCTCGAGGCTAGCACTCCACTACTTGAACCACAGGGCCACTTCCAGTTTTCTAGTGGCCAGTTGGAGATAAGAGTCTCGCAGATGTTTCTGTCTCGGTTGGCTTTGAACTGTATGATCCTCAGATCTCAGCCTCCTGAGTAGCTAGGATGACAGGTGTGTGCCTCCGCCTGGCTTACTTGCTGCATTTTGACAAGTTGAAATGCTGGGACAAGCAGCTTAGAAATGAAGCCACCCAAGCACAAGAAATGTTACTAAACACCAAAGAAATCATGAGAACTTTTGACAGTTTCATAGAGCTAAAAAAAAAAAAAAAAAAAGCAAAAATTAGAGATGTGAGAAGCCAAGATTCTGGTAAGATGGAATGGCAGGTCTGAGCCAAAATCTTTGTCCATTTTCTGCTGAAGTCATTTACCGTATCCTAAAGCTGCCTGAGCTAGGAAGCTGAGAAGCTAAACAAAATCACATAAAGCAGAACAGCTACTTCTGAAATCTTGAGTACAGGGGAGGCAGAAGATTAGGCCTTTGAACCCACCAGAGCAGAATAAGCACCAGTGTGCCACAAGTAGACAACACCTTGCAATCTACAATCCAGTCTTTCATTCAGCACTGTCCAACCAGAGATAAAGAATATCAGCTTCATTCTACCTTCCAAGAAGAGGAAAGGGAAACCATTTCTAAAGATACCAGTGCCTAGGCTCTGAGTTCAAGCCCCATGACAAAAAACACCACAAAACAAAAGATCTAGCAATTCTCCACTTTTTTTGGGGGGGGGGGGGAGGTCAGTCGTGGGAACTGAACTCTGGGTCTGGCCACTGTTCCTCAGCTCTTCAGCTCAAGGCTAGAACTCTACCACTTGAGCCACAGCACTACTTCCGGCTTCTTCTGCTTATGTGGTGCTGAGGAATCCAACCCAGGGCCTCATGCATGCAAGGCGAGCACTCTACCACTGAGCCACCTTCCCAGCCCCTATATACACTTTTAAATGTGCACATACTTCTAAATGACCCAGCAGGCCAGCTCAATGGTAGAGAGTTGAGGGGCCTGGGTTTGATCCTCAGCACTACCCAAAATAGATGGGGAGGAAAGAGAGTAAGAAAAAAGTGGAGGGGCTGGGAAGGTGGCTCAGTGGTAGAGGGCTTGCCTTGCATGCATGATGCCCTGGGATCGATTCCTCAGCACCACATAAGAAAAAACCCGGAAGTGGCACTGTGGCTCAAGTGGTAGAGCGCTAGCCTTGAGCTGAAGAGCTGAGGGACAGCGCCCAGGCTCAGAGTTCAGGCCCCACGACCGGACCAAAAAAAAAAAAAAGAAAAGAAAAAAGTGGAAAAGGAAATGTCAATTGAAATGACAAAGTAATAATATGACATTATAGAAGCCAAGGGCTTCAACTTTCACTCTGGGCCAGATGGAGCAACTCCTCCTGAACTAGCCCTTTGGGGTCCTTTTGTTCTATTTAGTTTTGCAATGTGGATAATGAGGACACAGCCCAGGATGCCTTCAAACTTGAAATCCTCCTGCTTCAGCCTCCCAAGTGCTGATAGAGGTTATGTGCCAGCATGCCTGGCTGAGGAGATTCGATCTTATTTTTTTAAGGGTTTCAAAATGATCTGTCTTGGCTAGGAAGGTGGCTCACTGGTAGAGTGCTTGCCTTGCATGCATGAGGCCCTGGGTTCAATTCCTCAGCACCACCTAAGCAGAAAAAGCCGGAAGTGGCACTGTGGCTCAAGTGGTAGCGTGCTTGCCTTGAGCTGAAGAGCTGAGGGACAGCGCCTGGGCCCAGAGTTCAAGCCCCACAACCGACCAGAAAATAAAATAAAAAGATCTGTCTCATCTTAGGAGAGCTAGAATTAGTACCTCCAGTTCTGGTGGGCTTTTCATTTGTTTTACTTGTTTGCTTTGTGAGATGGGGGTTTTGCTTGCTATACAGGCCGGTCTGGAACTCAACATCCTCAGTTTCCCAAATGCCTGGATTATGGGCATATACCACTAAGCTCAGACCCAAGAAGGTACTTCCTTCTTCTTCTTCGTTTGGCCATTCCTGGGGCTTGACCTCAGGGCCTGGGCACTGTCCCTGAGCTTCTTTTGCTCAAGGCTCATACTCTACCAGTTGAGTCACAGCACCACTTCTGGCTTTTTCTGTGTATGTGGTACTGAGGAATTGAACCCAGGGCTTCATGCATGCTAGGCAAGCACTCTACTACTGAGTCACCTTCCCAGATCCAAGAAGGTACTTTTTGAAAGCAATGTCAAATTCCCAGTGTAAGACTGTAAGCCTTGAAAATGGAGATGCTCAACTGCTCAGCAACTCTGCCCAGGGACAATTTCTTGG